CTCTGTTGGAATAGTTAATGAAATTTTTCAGTAAAAGCTATACCAATGAAATATCCGTTGGAATTTCATTGGAATATCTTATAGATGCATTTTCCATTGCAATATACCAACTTTTTTTGATTCATTCTTAAACATTATATTTTAGATAGTGGTTATTGAGTAATTGTGTTTACAATGTTTCTTCTTAAACTTTTTAATTCATATAATTTTTTTAAAGTAACTCATTATTTTATCTCAAGATTACCTATTATATTCCCAATTGAGTTACATTTATTACATATTAAATGTTAAATAATTAAAATAATTATTATTTATATATTTAATATGATATATATTATATGTAAAAAAGATAATAGCAAATAAAAAGTAATTTAAAATTAGAATAATTAGGTGTTTTTTTTTTCTAACCTACATGGATAAAGGTAAAAATAACTATTGTATATCACCTCAAACTTACACATAGAATTAATAAGTACAAAAATTAACAAGCATTTAACAACCCTGCTCATTTACATCAATAAATATACGTTTTAAAAGGTTTATGTTTACTTTTATTAATCATGACATATTTACTTATTATTTTTTAATGTTTATTAATACGTGTTACAACTTAGCAATTTTTAATATCATTTGTCAGATTTAATACTTTTATATTTTGTATTGTTCTTCATATGTTTTTAATTTTTGTATTTGCTTAAAAATTCATAATATTATGTATAGAACTTTTTCGGTCATATGTATTAATATATCTATTATTTGTATATCTTAATATTATATTATAGAAAATTATATTTTTCTCTTTAATATTATAATCAATTATTCATAATTTATAAATTCATCAACACTATTGTCGAGTCAACTATACTACAACATAGATTTTTTATTCATAAGATTTTTAAAGAATATATTATTTTGGTCATTTGTGTTAATATATCATCTATTTGTATATCTTAATATTATATAATATACAATTACATTTTTTTCATTAATATTATAATTAATTAGTCATAATTTATAAATTAATCAATAATATTGTCGAGTAATCTATACTGCAACATAGATTTTTTGTTCATCAGATTTGAAAATATATATTATTTTCAATGATTTGCTTATTTTTAGTTGAGAAAAATTATGTGTTTCTTATAAATACTTTTAACTTATTGTAACTGTATAGATTTGCTAAATATGTATTACAGATGAGAAAGATGACAAATTATGAAAAGAATAATTTATATATTGTAATGACATTATGTTATTTTGAACGTATAATTTTTCTATTAGCTAAATAGTGTCCTCAATATGAAATTGTCTGTATCTACCACTGCAATTAGCTTTCCAATGCAACTTTCATTGAATTTTTTATAATTCCAATGAAAAATTTTCCAACGGTAGAAATATGTTTCGAAAAAATAAATTAAACGAATTCACACAACAATAAATAATGGTAATTGGAATCATTAAATCCACTATAATTCCATTATAATTTAATTTGATCTATGTTGGAATAGCCAGTGATATTTTCCAATGAAAGCTATACAATTGAAATATACTTTGGAATTTTTAGTGGAACACCTTATCGTTGGATTTTTCAATGCAATATAGCATTTTATTTTTTGCATTTCCTTTTAAACATTAAAATTTTTATGTTGTAGTTTTTTTATTAAGTAATTGCGTTTTACAATTTCTTTTTATTAAGAATATATTAAAAACATTATCTTTTTTGTCCATATAACTTTTTAGAAATCACTACCTATCAATTTCTCAATTGAATACAACCTTTTACGTATTAAATATTAAATAACGAAAATAATTATTATTTTATATTGTAATATGATAAATATTATATTTAAAAAACTAATAGGTTGTAATTAGTCCTGTGGGGATCCTACACTCGGACATTATCCTGTGGGGATCGTTTCTAGTTTTTCGTTTGTTTGTGTTTTTGTGTGTGGCCGATCAATTCTAGCATGGCTAGTTCGGTTTCTAGGCGATCTTCGGATTGACCTCCCTGTTTTTTCAGCTGTTAGTTGGGTCATTCAGCTAGGGGTTGTAACTTTGCACATTTGTGCGTTTGTTTAATAGTAATCTCTATCGTTCCGAAAAAAAAAAAATCACCTAAAAGTTACACATAGAACTAATAAGCACAAAAAAAATAAAAAGAAATTAATAAACAATTCGATTCATTTACATCGATAAGTATAAGTTTAAAAGTTTTATATTTAACTTTATTAATTATAAAATTTTTATTTATTGTTTGTTTTCATATTTATTAGTAAGTCTTACAACTTAATTATATTTTTAAATTATTCATCATATTTAATATTTTTTTTCTTTCATATTGTTCTTTTATTTACCACACATCTTGAAAATCAGTGGCTCAATAAAATAATAATAATTAAAATCTCATGATATATTTTACTTTATTATTGAATGTAAAATTCATATATTTTAAGTGTTAATAATTAAAATATTACTCACCTTGATATTAACCATCTAATGGTCAAGTGATAATTTGTTAATTATATTCACTTTGTGACTAAAATTGGAAAAAACAAACAAACAAACAAATGACGATTTTTGTGGGATCAAAATTCAATCCAGTAAGACCAAAGTGCAATTTTTATTCTAATTCTAAATATAAGAGTTTACTTTTCTTAAATAATGAAGTAGCTAAATGAATTGTTCAACTTTTCTATTTTGTCAGATAATGTATAAAATTATATTAAGAACAGGGATTTTTTTGAAAACATTTTTCAAAACTTTGTTGTTTAGGTTGATGTTGTGTTGATTTTTGGGAGATATGTGGAAGAAAGTCATCAGGTAAAGGAAAAAAATGCTGGGATGGTGGCTAGTGGGAGTAGAGTGCAACATCAGAGAATGTGGAAAAAGACATGGGCATTACAGGTTAAACCAAAGTTGAAGATTTTTTTGTGGAGGTGCTGGCATAATTATCTGGGAACAAAAGCTAATTTGAAGCTAAAGAGTGTAGAGGTGGATGATATTTGCTGCTGGTGTGGTATGGAGATAGAAGATATGGAGCATATTTTTTTCTGGTGTGATAGGGCAAGAAAGGTGTGGAAAATTGCAGGATTTCAGTGGACAAAAATGGAACAGAATCACCTCAGATTTCAGGAGTGGTGGGAGGATATTTGTGACATTGATAAAGCTCAAAACTACACTGATAGAGTGGGCTTATCAACATATCTGTTATGGTGGCTGTGGAGGACCCGGAATAATTGGATATTTAGAGGGGAGAAGATGGAGGAAATACAGCTGGTGCAAAATGCAAAGATAGAGTGGGTGGAATATGAGGATGTACAGATGATTAACAGATTGAATGCTTTGAACAGAGGAGTAGGGTCCCAAGATTCTGGGACCAGTGCTATATGTTCAAATGATGATGGATATGTGGTGCATGGTACAGCAATTAGAAATGATGCAGTGGTGGATGAGTGGAAGTTAAAGAAGGATCAACCAGATAATTGGGAAAAGGAGTTGCTGATAGGATTGAGAAAATGGTTGGGACATGGGATCACACAAGGCTAGGAACAAGTGAAGCTTGTGCTGCAGGATAAGAAAATGATTACAAGATTGTTGGCCATTGATGCATTTCCTGAAAATTTGCAAGTAGTGGTAGCTGACATTGTAGTATTATTTTCTAGATTTCAGGATTGTTCAATTAGTTAATGATTTGTGTTGGTATTATTTTGACCGATGTGGTCTTGCAGGGGGCCTAATATTAGTGTTCCCCAGATGTGTTTTTATAGGGCCAATGGGTTGGTTTTGTTGTATGTCAACCAGTTGGTTGTGTAAACTCTTGTTAATATTAGTAATATATATAATATGTTCTTATTGGAAAAAAAAATAAAAATAAAAATAAATAAATTTGTGTTAAAAATCCAAAAATGAAATCAATCAATTTTTCAGCATTGTTGATGCTAATAGAGTCTCATTTATGATTTATCCATCATTTGTTAATTAATGTTGTCTTCATCATTGATTGTTTGAGATCATGATCATTGTTATCGTTAATTTTATCGATGTAAATATTTTTATTTCTTCCTTTGTTGTCACTATTGNTTTTAATTTTTAATAAGGTTATTGTTAAGCATACTGTTAAGTCATACAGCTTTTATAACGTAACATATCATATATGCATACTTTTAAATTTAATTATTATATACTCTAAAACACAATAAAAGTATGCATTTCATAGCATAAATATGTATGTTTTATTAAAGAAATATATATGATGGGTTAATTCGTCTAACAGTTAGAAGTCTCATACAAGAATTTTGTTTTACTACTTATACGGATAGTAGAAATAAAATATCACAAAGATTTTTGTGAGACGGCCTAACCATTAAGCGGGTCGACTTGTTATATTTTTATTTTTTATTTTAACAAAAAACATACTTATATTGTTAAATATAGGTTTGTATATATTACCAATTATTTTTATAGGAGGCTAGTGACCCACACATGTTGAACGAGATACACCCCTTTTGATTCATATGTTTTGGGTGCATACTCGTAAAATCGAATAATGTGATTTGATATATAAAGAGGAATGAATAATACAATGAAACGATACATCATTTGTGTAACACAGCTAAATTGAGAAATGAATCAGGATAAGCTTTTTCTAGAAAAATTATGCTTTAAATCCGAATTTTTATTACTACCTTTAGTAGTCACTCGAAATGTTCATCACTGAATTGGAACCTGAAACTCAACTTACGAGTCAAGCTTTTGTTTTTATGGGTTCACAATTTTCCCTTCAAGGGAATCTGAAAATTTATGGGCCGAGGGAATAATTTTTGGGCCGGTTTTTTGCCAACGGGCTATTATTCACGTTTCCAAATGTAAAAATTAGTGGGGATCATGAACAATAAAAAGTGGATTTCCTTTAAATTCCCATCCCATCTGAAATTCCAAAAGAGCCCGAAATGTAAATGCGTGAGATATTTAAATATGTCTACTGAGTATTTTAAACATTTTTCTCATATTTTTTCTCTACAATTGGTCCTTAGTTTCTCCATAGTACGACGTGCAGTAATTCATATTACATATTTATATATAATTGATGCAAATAGTACATAAGTATGGTATAATTGGCAAATACATTTTCATTTGAGGCTTTTTAGCCTATTAAAGAGGGGCGAAAAGAGGAAACGAAATAAAAACATATATATTATCAACTTTTTATTTAATTATAATTTCGTTACTTAAGGTTTAATTACGAAAAAATTTGCAGTGACTACAGCAGCTCTCATGGCATTGCTGATGACTGTGACAACATCCTTCACTTGACACGTGTTCCCTTCAAAAGAGGGTGCACCTGATTTCCTGAAACTCTCCACACACTCTAAAAGTTTTCCATTACACAGCTGGCTCAGGTATTGATCTGCAACACACATTGTACAAATTTCAATTTAGTAACAAATCAATATATTCCAACTATCTTTTAGACTTTTACCAAAGAGTTGGTCTTCGGGACTAGCTAATGATATAATGATATTGACTTGCTGTCAACTTTTACACTATCTTTTAGACTTTTACCAAAGAGTAAAATAAAAATGTCAATATAATAATGATATTGACTTGTTTACACTATCTTTTAGACTTTTACCAAAGAGTAGAATAGAAATGTCAATATGACCAGTCTCTGGAATTCTGGCTTATACCTTGACTTGTGATCATGCATTGAAATTTTCCCTAAGTTTAGCATAATAATAATAATAATAATAATAATAATAATAATAATAATAATAGGAGGAGGAGGAGGATACAAAAACTATTGGTTTCATAAGGAGGTAAAATATGGGATAATTTTGGGAGAACCATGTTTTGCTGTGTTCATTACGAAAATAACATTGACTAATTATTTATTACAGATTTATCCAATTCTCAACCCGTTTATTTATTTATTTATTTTTTCCAAGGCAAACAAAAAAATATTCATGAACTCATAAGAAATTACAAATCGTTCAATCAAACGATTACAAGTTCGGGTTTGTTTTTGCTCAGATTGTTTAGTTCGGTCTCCTTTTAAAAAATATTCATGAACTCATAAGAAATTACAAATCGTTCAATCAAACGATTACAAGTTCGGGTTTGTTTTTGCTCAGATTGTTTAGTTCGGTCTCCTTTTAAATATAAATAGTCAATCTATATTTATTTCTTATTATAGAAACTATAGTTCCACTTATTTTTATATTTCGCTACATGGTACTCAACATACTTATTTTATTTTGAAATTCGTATAATTTACCTACAAAAAATTATAGAACTGATCTAATTTATTGTATATAATAAAGAATATAATAAAATTCAAATTATTTTATAAAAAGAATATTTTTTTTTTACTTAGATCTGCATATTGCTAGCCCATTTAAATCAGATCGACTGGTTCAATTCTCGTTAGGGCTGACCCATAAAACATCTTTTCAATTATTTATTTATTAATTTTTGGGAGAACTTAAAAATAAAAGTAATGGAACTTACTTCCCGTTTTGCCTATGCAATTATCATGATCCATGCAGCATTTGTCGAGGGCATCACAGGGCTCTTCATTGGGGCAACCCGTGTAAAACACCCCGCAGTATTTTCCATACCTTAGAATTGGTAAGTCTGCAATATCATTAATAAAATTAGAATTAAAAAAAAATAACAAATCAAACAAGACATTTTTGAAATTTAAATAATTTTTAAGGCAAAATTAATCTAGAAAAAAGAAATGGTTGAGAAAGGAAAGATAGTTACCGGTACAAGATTCCGATATGCATTTTCGACTGCACTGCTTGATTATATTGCAAGGTGGAAAAACACATGAGAAAAAAGAAATCGAAACATGTTAAATAAACTAATTAACCAAATTAATATCATTTTTTCGATAGATCTTAATTATGTTATTTTGTTAGGCTGACACACTCTTTTCACATTTTTTTTTCACTGATTATGATGAGCCGGCCAGTCTAATGGTTAGACGGTCATACACAAGAGATTCTTTTATGTCTTTCAGAGATATAAAATCCAATTAAATGTGAAATTTTTTGTTATAATAATAGGGTAGCTCACCGTGTAATTCTGGTCTGCATGGGCAGGTTTGTTAATGGCTGCAGAGGCATTTATGGGAAGAACAAAATAGCAAAAAATGATGATAAAAAGGGGTGGAATTAATGGAGGAGGTGAAAACTTCAGTGATTGATGAGAATAAGCCATTAAGAGAGAGAGAGAATTTTATGCACTTGATACCTTTTAGCCTTGAGAATACTTACAACCTTATATAACATGTTAAATAAACTAATTAACCAAATTAAGTATTCTTATAGCGTTGGCTTTAAGAATACTTAAAAAATTTCATTTTTTTTTTCAAGGCAGAATCATCAAGTATCAAATTTCTTTTGTATCCAATATTTAATGCATAGTTTTTTAATTTGGACCAATCCGGCAAGTCATTCGTAGTCGAAATTGGTCTGAGTGAGCTATTCGGACCAAGTAACAATGGATCTGGTCAAACCTAATTATAACCCGGCCTTGACCCGGGTCCCTAAAATTTTTTTAAATGTTTTTTTATTTAAAAAATAAAACTGTACATATTTTATATGATAAATATTTGCTATGAGATACAAAACATTTAATTTTGTTACTTTTATGTATATTTATTTGACAACAATGCTATATATATAATTTTAAAAATTTTAAAATTAATTATATGATTCAGCAATTAACTCAATGACCAGACGGTTGAACATGTGACCCGAAGATCTACCTAGTCGATTCCCGAACAGGGTTTAAAAACTATGATTTTAAAAATAATAATAATGGATTTGAATTTGAATTTATTTATTTAATGGAACGTACCTACCATTTTCATGATTTACGCGTAGTAGTTTTAGTCTTTATATTGTAACTTGTAAGTATAGACTCAATGGTTGGCTCCTTAATAGAGCCAACTATCTATGTGCCACTATCTAGGTGGCAATTAAAATTAATTCTTCTAAGAGCATCCACAATGTTTTGGGTTCAATTAAAAAAATTATATGCCACATAAGAAATAGACTCAGTCTAGAAAAATATATTTTTCAATGCAAGTAAAAGTAAACGGGGTCCTGCTGATGTGGCAGCAAGAAAACGAGACTCAGTCTACCCTTAAGTCTATTTTAAACTCAAGTAGAGACCTAGTCTCTTTGCATTGGAGTGAAATTCATTAATTTTACATAATTTTATTCATGTCATCCAACACTTGGGTTTATTCACATGCCACATATATAGGCAAAACTAGACACAATGCATTGCAGATGCTCTAATATGGTTTATTTCATCCTCTCCAATTACCATATCATCCTCCCCACTCTGTCATCCTCCCCTCGACATAGCACGGTGTAAAGAGAAGGAAAACTCCATGGACGAAAACACACAAGAAGGATAATATTAGGGGAAAAAAATTCAGAACCTAATTGAGGGTTGAGCCAGAAAAACTCCATCGACCAAAAGTACACAAGAAGGATAATGAATCCCTAGGGGAAATTAGGGGAAAAAAATTCAGAACCTATTTGAAGGTTGAGCCAAGCCATGGACGAAAATGAAGCTCTAGGTGGACATCGGAGCAAGAATTCAACATGAAAGAGGCGATTTCCGCCATGGCAGACGAGTGGGTATCCTTGGAACTAGAATAATTTAGGTCACATAATCTAGGAAAACGGCCCAGCCTTGACCCCAACCTTGGCGGCCCAACCCTGACCCCGACCTCGGTGGCCCCAGCCCCGGCCCCGACCCCAACCTTGGCGGCCCCAGCCCCACCCTGATCTCGACGACCCCAGCCCTAACCTCGACTTCATCAACGCCTCCACCTCATGACACTCTAAATTCTTAACAGTGATGTGGGGAAGATGATCTGGTAATTGGTAATTGGAAGGGATAAAATAAACCAAATTAGGAGAATTAATTTTAATTGCCACCTAGATAGTGACATAGGAAGTTGGCTTTG